ATTATTACTCGCGGGTAATTATTCAGATTTTAAAAATTGGAAGTAGTAATAATGTATAAAAACATGTTCAAAGAATTTTAAAAAACGAGAGTTTAACTATTAATAAATCACGTCTTTATAGAAAAATTAAAATACAATTTTATTTGCTTTAAAATTAATACAATAAAATATAGTTGAATTCAAGTTAATTTTTAAGAGGTATCAAAATAATGCTACAATAAAAAATCTTATGTTTTCTCCTAAATTTGCTACCAAAATAGTTCGATAGTCAATATTATTTGGAAACCTACATAGAAAAATAAATGAGGTTTATTCATTTCACTAATTTATTTGCATCCATGAGAAATATTAAATTAAAAAGGTACTAAATAGATCTTTTTTAATCAGATGATGTCTACTTACAATTTAAGAATGTCTACTAATTTCATGAACTTATTTAATACATTAATGAACATGAATAAACCCAATGGTACGCCTATTAAAATGTAAACAAACACGCTTCCTCATCTTAAATAATGTAAATTTTATGTACTTACAAATTAAATGAGAGATCGGGATGTACATATTTCGTTTATTTTATTTCACTTTTCACAAATATCACTCAAAATACAGCCAAAATATCGAAAAACAACTTTTACTAAAAAGTAAACAAACATGGAACAGCATTTGAAGTTTGACGTAGATCCATAAGACAGAGAAATGTAAACAACCGTTGCCATTAAAACATAAATAGTTTTCAGTGCTTTTACATATAAAATAATTGATTGATATCTAAATTATACGTTATTATTAAATGATAATGCACACTATGTGCACACTTTATATTTTGATTACAATTAAATATATTAATCTAACCAATAAATTATTATTTTAGTTTGATAGCACCTGTAGAGTATAAAATAAGGAGTAATATTTTCAGCGACTCGCGAATAAGAAATTTTAAAACAAAACGTGACAACAGCTGAAGGTGCTGAGAATGTGATCTATTCAAATAATTTTGACTTCACAATTTTATGTAAATAACTGAGTCCATCTGTGTTTATATGTCCATGCATAAAACCCAAGATAAACAAACCATACTGGTGGGATAAAGAAATAGAGGAAGAAATAAAATGTAAAAGACAACTATACCAACAATATTTAAGCTCCAAATCATTATAAGACAAAACAAAATATAAAGAAAAACAAGCAGAAGTGCGAAGGAAAATCTCTAAAAAGAAGAATGAGTCTTGGGAAAGAAACTGCCAATGAATAAATAATTATCTAGGAGAAACCAGAAGCACATAAATCTGGAAACTGATAAAAAAATTTAGAAAAGAAAAGAATAAAGAAGTAATACAGAGCATAAAACCTAAAAACTGGGAAGAGTATTTCAAAGAACTTTTAGTAGAGAATAGAGTCGAATTTCAAGAACATAGAAATCAAAATCAAGATAGAATTGCAATAGTCGGCTCGCCAATAAGATTAACAACAGAGGAAATTAAATGGAAATTTAACGAATGTCTTCGACAACTATTTCAAGAATGCATAAACACAAGCAAAATTCCTACGGAATGGAAGATATCATATCTCAGTACTATACATAGAAAGGGTGATAAAATTAATTGTGAAAATTATCGAGGAATAGTTGTAACCGTATCTCTGAGTCGAATGTAGGGAATGGTCTTAAAGAACTGACTCAAGAGGGAATACTTAGATTATGAAACAGAAGAACAAGCAGCATTTCGTACGGGTTGATCCACTATTAACCACATTTTCTCCTTAACCCAGATAATATAAAAAAAATATATAAATAAAAATTGTAGAACAGACTAAAACATCATTTTGTTTATGTCCTAGCCTTAAATAAGAGGAAGTTAAAAAAAATTGAGTGGGGTGATTGTAGATGGCAATTGATTGGATATCCCGTCTCATGGTCAAAGACAAAATCACTAGTTTAAAATATATATTTATTTTGCAAAATTTTAATTTTCTCTTATTATTATGAGCTGAAAAGGTTATGAAATGATAGGTAACTTAAATATTTATGTATTATACTTATAAATAATATCTTTTACAAATAAATTTTACAAAAAAAATTAATTTTTTATTTGAAAATCAAATCTGTGTTAATTTTTCTTGAATTATGCTTAATATTTTAAACAGTAATTATAATTAATATTTTTGTCTTTTCACAATTTTTATTTAGTTTTACATGTAGCTATACTTTAGTCTATTGTAGATTCTGTCAGGTAGTATGATATACACCACTGCTTCCAGCACAGTTCACCTCTTCTTTTTGCGGACGATCTAAAGTTCTACACAATTATTAATAATAGAGAAGATTATGTCAATCTTTAAAACAATCTTGATTGGTTGAGTGAGTGGTGTGTGTTGAATGCTATGGCCCTGGACCCATCCAAGTGTCTTGCTGATTCTTTTGGACTATTGGAATATAGGAGAGACCCAATGGAATATAATCATAATATATAGAACATTCTTGTTAACTGGGTCATCAAAATTCGTGATCTGGGAATTAATTTAGACTCTAAACTTTTGTTTGACTCACATATATGTCAATAATTTCCAAGTCCTTATAAATAATTGGCTTCATAAAAGATGCACTAGAGACTTTCAGAATATTGAAGCAATTAAATTACTCTATTGTTCTTTAGTTAGACATTTTACAAGATTTATTATCAAAAATTGAGACAGTTCAATACAAGCTATTGAAATATGTAGCATATAAACAGGGTATAACTTTTGAACTAAATCAAGTAAATTATGATCAAATTAAAACCCAACTTGGTATTCTCTCATTTTATAACCAAAGATTACACTCTTGTGTCCTCAGCTACTTAAACAGGTTGTCTGTATGTACCTCTCTGTAGAACACGATTAAACCAAACTTTTTATGTTCCTTTTCACAAAACCAACTATGCATATAATAAGTTTTTAATTCGAGCACTAAAATTGGCAAATATTCAACCAGATGTAGATTTTTTTGCACCAAAGGCCGAATTCATAGTTGTTTATTTGAGTGGCAGTGGAGTAGGTAGTCATCATTTTGATATGTAAAACTAGATTACATTGTTAAGTTTGTGATGTTTATATTTTATTTTGTTTTATTGTATTTTTAATTAGCAAACATATACATTGAAAAATTTTTAGATAGGCATAAATTGAAAATTTCTTTTAAATAACTATACTATAATATATCTCTTGTAAACATTGTTAATCTGATTGGACAGCAGCCCGTTGAAAATAAATAAATAAATATTAAATTTAAAACAAAATATGATGTAATTGGTCCTTGCACCCATGACACACAGTATGATTTCTTATATTTAATGGGTAGATATCAGTGTATTGAGCCCAATATACAACATATATGGCATAGCTGTCTATTATTCACAGTTATGATACCTATGTGTGTTCGTCAAGTAGTCACCTAGTAGGCATATTTATTTATGAAAATACTTGTGCAACCTTAATGTGGATAATTGTTATTTTCACTTTTAATTATTCACTATATCACTTTTCCCCTGATAGTTATTCAGCATAAATTAAATATATCAAATAATTGTCTTATTACAATTATACAATTGATACACTTTAACTGATGTAACTTAATTGTTAGATACTGGCGTATTACACCACTATTTAAGTATATCAAACTCAAATCTTTTCATACTTTTCTGGCATGCTTTGGAAAAATTGTCATATCTGTCACATAACCTGTTTCCTATGTGTATAAATGAGAGAATATATTCTTAGTATCATTAGAACAATCTAATAATGTCATTTCAATAAAACATGTAGTGGTCTGGTACACAATTTTTTTTGTATTAACTTTCTTAAGATGCCTAAAGCTAAATTTAAAATCATCTTAATTTTTGCACATTTTTTTATTTAAACTATAATCAATGTGTAGAGCTGCTCAGGTTGTTGGAGACAGTCATTTTTGAAAATTATATTTTGCAGAGTGTTTAGACACACCACATACTGGTGCTGGGATCACAAATGTTCCACTTGTGACTCTTATTAATTTCCTTACCATGGTACCTATATTAACTGTTTCAGTGCTTGTATTTTCCATCAGACTAACACATCTGTCCCCAAATCTGTGTTTTCAATAGCCAAAATGTATTGGGAGTATAGTTGAACTAAGTGTTTTGAGATAACAGTAGCCTATATTGTATAATAATATGTTCTTTTTATCATAAAACTTGAGTTTTTCTTTGTATGATCATGTAAATATTGAAAAATGCTCATTGGTCCATCTTATTGGAATTTAGTAATAAAATATCTATAATTTGATCCACTAAAATTATTTTAAGCTAGTATGTAAAAAGGCAAATACATTTTATCATGTCTAAACTAATGAAAAAAAAAAACATAGGAAGAGTAAATGTATTAAAATGTTCCTGGCTGGTAACCAAACATTTATTTTTATGAAAGGGTGGTTAACATTACAAAGGAATTGTAGCTGCCAAATCATCTAATACTTTTAAAAATTAATCAAAGAAATTAAGTAAGAAATTGAGTTTCTTTAACAATGCTCCTGCTAGTAATATTTGCATGTGTTACAACCACCCACACTGCATAACAGGAAGAACAATAAAAAAAAAGAAGAAATACAAGAAATAGTACCAAATATATAAAAGAAAAATGAACAATACTATGAATGAAGCAGGAAAAAAGGGGGATGGAAATATAATAGGGGGATAGAATATGATAGACATAATCATATTTTAGAGTTGAACACTCCAGAAGACTTGTAAATTATAAGATAAAAAGAGGACTGGTATAAATCATGACATGAACTCCTAGAGACTTCAGCCGTTATACAGCTACCTTATCGACCAACGAACTTATAGATCGATAATGAGAAGATAATAGCGGGGAATTGATTAAAATTACAGATTCCATTTACATTTGTAGGCAAAATATCTTTTTTCAGTAGTAAAATGTTACCCTACTCCGTTTTTTAAGCAATAAGAATTTTATTTATTACTTACAGGTAAAAGAGAAAAACGAGTATTTATAGCTGCCATTGTAGTCTGGGCACTAATGAACGCTTTGTTTTAAACTTTATGTAGCTACATCCACAGGAAATACTTAATTAAAAACAATTAATATTTAGTGGTAAATATATTAATGCAATCTGTCACTACTGCCACTGTGTTAATCTAGCTGTCAAAGTCAAAAAATTCTCTGGTGCGAAGATAGTCAAGGCACCTACCATGGTAGGAGGTGCAAAATTATTTCTATGGGTGCGAAGTTATTACTTTTAATTGATCTACAGCATTGTAAATTATAATATCACTCATGATAAAATAATAATTGATGTGTTTCTTCAAAACCCTCACTGAATTTCTTATGTAATGAGTTTGAATTTTCGAGATTTTCAGTAGACGAAACTATGCTACCTTCTTGTACATTTACCTAAATTGCGATTGACAGGATTACTTATTCAAATTTATAATATGGGATTATATTATAATACTGAAAATCAAGTCAAAATGTTACAAAGTTAATTTTTAAAACATAAATTTCTGTAGGTTAGACAACTAGTTCTACAATTCAGCTGTCAGACAAATCGGCCATAAATATTGATGATAATAAAATTAATAAAAACTCCTATTATGCATATGCATTGTAAGGTGTGACCTTGTCCTAGAGAGATATTTGCTGTGACTTTAGTAGTTGTGTCTAGTGTAAATACTTCAACAACAAATATTTTGTCATTTCTCCTAATCAAAGATTACTTCCACGTCCACGTATTCGATGACTTGTATGATATATTGATATCGTAAAAGTTACAAGATATACTTAGTAGAAATTAAGAAAATGGCAAAAATAATCATATTTGGTTGCACTGGAATGACCGGCCTTTGTGCTGTAGAAGCTGCTGTAAATAAAGGTACAATTTAGTTTTGATAAGTAGGTGATATGCAGAAATTTTAAAATATATAGCTGATATAAGTTCCCCAATTCAAATGGCATTGAAGCTCAATTAAACTTTATTAAGTAACAAATTCGTTAATAATGATTTCTATTTTTGCCCAGTCATCCAGTTGCATAATGTTTTTAAAATTTAATGTTTCAATAAATATTGGGGAGTTGCATATTCAAATTTCTTCCAAAGAGGAAGAATAGCAATCAATGATATATTCCGATTGACTAAACGGACTAATAATTTATTTTTAATATTCAAATACTTGTTGACTACTTTATTGTGGATATTGATTGTATATGATTTACATTAATACTCCAACAGGGTTAAGTTAAAAGGGTATGTCACATATTTTCTCATTTCATTGGTTATTCTCTTAGGTGATGAAGTTATTCTTCTTTTATTTATGGTGGTATTGTCAATCAAGAAGTCACCACCAGTAAGAAGATTCCAAGGTCTAAAACCAACCACTTTTGGTCTCTATTTTCTTATTTGGTTCAGACACAATGACTAGGTCCATTCCACTTCTTCCCCTCCAATTGTGAGCATATTATGTGCCACCCTACATTTCTCCAAATTCACCTATATCACTATGAGGTATGAACCCATTGTGGCAATCCGTTGTTGGGTTGAATTTTAATGTCTAATTTCCCCTCCCCTTGATGCTGCACCACCTCTTGTCTTTTTGTTCTCAGCTATCAGGTTCTTGTACCCAGGGCACTCATTTGTATGGTGCACACAGAACAAAGCTATTATATACATACAAGAGCAGTTGGGATGTTGTAGATTGTAGTATCATATGAAAATCTATCGTCCTTGCTCCAGACTGCCTCTTTTTTTTTTAGAGCAAATGACTAATATCCAACTATTTTTTCAATTTTTAGGACTAAGTGTGAAGGCCTTCGTTCGGAATCCAGCAAGACTACCCGAGCATTTAAAAAACAGTGTTGAAGTTGTCACAGGCAATGTCCTGGATTATAAATCTGTATTGGATGGCATAAAAGATGTGTCTGGAGTAGTGGTAGCCTTGGGTACAAATAATGATTTGAGTGCTACCACTGACTTGAGCACAGGATTGCAAAATATTATTAAAGCTATGAAAGAACTGAATGTAGAAAAAATTTCAGTGTGTCTGTCTGCCTTTTTGTTCTATGAAGTTAGTAAAGTGCCACCAAGATTCAAGGATTTAAATGATGAGCATCAAAGAATGTATGATGTTCTAAAGGCCTCAGGGCTGAAATATATTGCTGTTTTTCCACCACACATAGCAGGTAAGTTTAGATATACAGTTTCAAGTATTTAATTCATATTGCTTTATACTTGAATCATTAACTGTTTTATACATTTTTTTGTCTTGAACAGTCAAATAAGTTTATATCAACCAATGGATTAGTATAAATTCTTAGTAAATAGTAACAGCAGTGACTTATTTTTAATTATTTTGTAGATGAACCCTTAGGGGAATATGTCACAAAACAAGATGCTGTTCCAGGAGCAAGGGTTATATCTAAACGCAGCTTGGGAGCATTTTTGGTTGATTCCCTTGATCAACCTGAACATTATGGAAAAACTGTGGGTATCAGTAATAAAACCCAGTAAAATAATACTTTTTATTAAGAACCAAAGTAATAAATGACTGTATTTTAAAAATGTTATTAGTTTCTTGTGATAATTTCTACAAAATAAATAAAGTTTATAGGAACAAAATTGCATGGTAGCTTGTTGTTTATGGTATATTTTTAATGATTATATTTCTTAAATAAAATTATTATACTACTAATTTTTTATTTTATCTAATTCATTTAGAATTAAAACAGCATATCATTGGCTTACTGCCAAAACCAGCCAATTAACTTTTTCTTGTTTTTGAGTTAAATATGCATTTGGACTCAGAAATTCTCAAAAAATGTGCTGACCAAACCAGAAAGTAAAATCAGATTTTAAATATGGGGAACAGCAGGAGTTAAAAAAAACTAACTCCAAAATAATGTTAATGAAATAAAATTTTATTATTTACAATATTCTAGTTTTACCACAACAAGACAAGTGCCAGTTAGGTTATTCTTGCTGTACTATTTTAGCTCTATTAATTAATCTTAAATTGCATAGTACAGATTCAATGTAGTGATGTAAGTATGATGTATTACAGCCATACGATTTGTACCTAGAACTTAACGGTGTATTAACTCATACTGCTGTTCATTGACTGAGCTTAGTGGAAAAAGAAAAAGCCTGGAAATCGGCACTTGCCTATTAAGATATATCGATAAACTATTTACAGCTGTGACAGCTTTGCTTATACATTTATTACAAACTTATCTGTGATACAACAGAAATTTCTCGAGAGTGTACATAGCTGCATTAAGGTAGATAGCATATTATTAAAAATGCACAAAAGTATGTTCCAAGTTTACACCATGCATGACTGGTTTAATATTTTCTGTATTACAAGGACCTATAGATCTGGTAAGAAACCTTATATTGTAAAAGAACTTACATATAAGTACTTTTTTGGTTTATAGGTGCTGTCAAAATTAATAATAAAAAATAAAACAAAAAATGGAGAAAAAGTTATCTGGCTGAAAATAAAATGTTTACAATATTTAAAATTCAAACCAGGCATTGTGTTGTAAAAGTGGAATAACAGTTCTGACTACAAAGAAATAAGTATTTTTGGCAAAGATGGCCCTGTTAATCTGGGCGAAATAGACTGTTAAAGCACTGCCAATCAGGAGTCATTCGGGATGAGTTTCAACAGTATTATAAATAGTTATCATCCCTGAGAGACATCAAGAACAGTATACCTGAACCTGATATTGCGGACAGTGATGTTTAAAGTGACCTGAGAGATGACTATAATATACAACATAGGAATCATCCCTGATAAATGGCTAGAATCAGAATTCATAGCGATACCTAAAAAACAGGGGGCTAAAAAGTGCGAAGAATATCGAATAATCAGCCTAATGAGCCATATGTTGAAACTGTTTCTTAGAGTCATCCATGGAAGAATTTATAAGAAGTGCGAGGAACAAATATCGGACAGACAGTTCGGCTTCATTAACGCAGTGGGTACCAGAGAGGCACTTTTCAGAGTACAGGTACTGATTCAAAGATGCAGGGACGTTAACTGCGACGTATACGCGTGCTTGATCGACTATGAAAAGGCATTTGACAGAGTTCAACATCAAAAGATAATAAACATTTTAAAAGACGCAGACCTGGATGACAAAGACCTCAGAATAATTTCAGAACTCTACTGGACTCAGACCGCATACATGAAAATTAACGGAGAAGAAACAGATCACATAAAAATACTACGTGGAGTTAGACAGGGATGTATCCTGTCGCCGTTGATATTTAATATGTACTCAGAGAAAATGTTTAAAGAGGCTCTTTACGGAATAGACGAATGGCATCCTTCTAAATGGTGAAAGAGTAAACAATGTTAGATATGCCGACGACACCATGGTGATAGCAGATAGTTTAGAGTGACTTCAGAGGCTAATGGACAGAATAAACGAGTACAGTCAACAGTACGGACTAAACACTAAAACCCACAAAACGAAACAAATGATTATCAGCAAGGAGAATATAAACGGGGCTCATCTATACATTAATGGGACGCAGATAGAGCCAGTAAAACAGTATTGTTACCTGGGAACTATTATTAACGAACAGTGGAGCAATTTACAGGAAATAAAGTGCCGCATAGGAAAGGCAAGAACGGTCTTTAACAAAATGAGCGCCATCTTCAAAAGTCACAACATATCCCTTGATACAAAAATGAGACATTTGAGATGCTATGTTTTCTCTGTGTTGTTGTACGGGGCGGAGGCATGGACGTTTACAGACACCACTATTAAAAAACTTGAAGCATTTGAGATGTGGCTTTATAGAAGAATGCTGAGAATATCATGGACAGCAAGGATCACGAACAAGGAAGTTCTAGGAAAAATGAAGAAAGAACCAGAGATTGTATTTACGATCAAACGCATAAAATTGCAATATCTGGGATACGTTATGAGAAATCAGCACCGTTACTCCCTGCTACAGTCTATATTGCAAGGTTAAGTTAAGTCAAAGGTAAGCGAAGACCCGGTAGAAGGAGAATATCATAGCTGCGGAATTTAAGAACATGGTTTAAGAAAACCTCAACGGAGCTGTTTCGAGCCGCAGCGAGCAAGGTTATGATTGCCAATATGATTTCCAACATCCGAAACGGATAGGAACCAGAAGAAGAAGAAGAGAGATGACTAACTTTGTAGAGTCAAAACCAGACAAGTGCCGCAAAAAAAGGTTTTCATACTTTTTATCTTAATTTGCACTTCATATTAACAAATTTTTTCGTTTGTAATGCTGTTTATTTTACTATTTTTCAGTTATTAAAACATATGTCAATAAATCATGGCAATGTTCAATACTAAAATAAATTCCGGAGTAGGTCCTCCGATCGGGTCTCCGGGCGAACAGTTTTGAGTTTACGAAAAGATAATAAATTGAATTGTAGAAAGAATATCAAGATCTGCACATGGAATGTCAAAACTGTATACAAAGCAAGAAAAGTCCACAATGCAATACAGGATATGAAGAGAATGTATATTGAAATCATGGAAATAGCACAAATGAGATGGCCAGATTCTGGAGAAATACAAATAGAAGATCACAATGTATATTACTCGGGAAAAAGTGATGGATCACATGAATATGGAGTCGGAATAATCGTATTACCCAAGGTTGCCAAATGCGTTACTAACTTTACACCAATATCAGAGAGAGTGATGTTACTACAAGTAGAAGCCAACCCTATTAATATAAACATCATACAAGTCTATGCTCCCACTGCAGACAAAGAGGAGGAGGAAGCAATTGAGTTATATCAGAACATCAATAGTATTATACAGAAAATTCCTCGACGGGAAGTTCTCATCATTATGGGCGATTTTAATGCCAAGATTGGAGCTGGAGATAAGACAATTCACTCAAGACAGACCCGGGAGAATTATTAGGAATAAAATAGACTACATTTTAGTAAATAAAAGATTCCGAAACAGCTTTACATCTGTCAAGACATCCTGGAGCAGACTTGGAGACAGACCACGTTCCACTGGTGGGAGTATTTCGAGTCAAACTGCAAACAGTGCAGAAAAGGAAAGCACAATCATATGATCTACATATGTTGAAAGATCTTGATACGAGGATGAGAGTCCACGCTACGTTAAACGAGCAAGTGACTGCAATTGGAGACGAATCGAACGAAGAAATACAGAAATAGTGCAAAATGTAAAGGATAAACACCTAAAGACAGATAGTTAATGAAGATAAAATCATGGATGACAGATGAGATCCTGAAACTAATGGACGAGAGAAGAGAAGCCACAAATAACCCCTACAAATATAAATCCATAAATATATTAATAAGAACGAAAATGAGAGAAACAAAAGAAAAATAAACAAGGGACAGATGCGAAGAAATTGATACTCTGCAGTCAAAGTACGATAGTCACAATGTAGGTACATAGGAAAGTTAAAGAACTCACAGGGGGACTAAGACGAAGGCAGAAAGGAAATATAACTAATTCTGGCGGAAACATCATCTTGGACAAACAGAGTAAAATAAGAACGTGGAAAGAATATCTAGAAAAAATAATTTGAAGACCTTTGAGCTAGAAGAAGAGGTAAATGATGTGTGTGTGTGAGTTTGTGCATTATTGGCTTCGGAGACTCTGTCCATTCGCCATCTTACCTTTATGGGATAATTTTGTATTTTTTATTCGGAAGCAATAAAGGAGTGCTCCTTGCTTTCTTCTCGTTTGCTATACAATCATAGTCCTGCTCTAATTTTACAAAGAATTATTTCCTATATATCTAATTTTACAATTATACCTTAGACTCTTATAACATATATTCAGCTTGTTTTGAATTATTTACTTTTGTTGTGTGTTTTTTTTTATTTATTTATTTTATTATTTTTTTTTTTCTTTTTTTTTATACATGACATTATACATGAGGTAAATGATGGACCAAGAATATTACAGCAGGAAGTTTATTCCGCAATAACACAGTTAAAGGATAGCAAAGCGGCAGGCACTGATAATATTTAAGCAGAACTTCTCAAACTAATCGACAACGAATCAATAGCATCATCGCAAATATATTCAACAATATAATATACAACTCTGGAGAAATACCAACAGAATGGCTGAAATCTGAGTTTGTTGCACTTCCAAAAAAACCAAGCCGAAAAAATGCGAATATTACCGTATACGCCTTATGAATAATCTCCTAAAATTGTTCCTAAAGATAATCCATAAGAGAATCTACAAGTTGTGTGAAAGTCAAATTTCCCCCAACCAGTTCGGGTTTACAAATTCTGTTGGTACTAGAGAGGTTTTGTTCTCAGTGCAAGTCTTATTCCAGAGATGCAGAGACGTATACGCATGTCTAGTTGATTATGAGAAAGCGTTTGATCGAGTACAGCACGCCAAAATGATGCAAATACTAAAAGAAGCAGGAATTAACAACCAAGATCTGAAAATAATTAGAAATTTTTACTGGAATCAGACAGCAAATCTCAGATGACACCATAGTATTTGCGGACAACTTAAAAGACCTACAAGTTCTTATGAATAAAATCACGTATTATATCAAATAATCACGTAATTATGACAAACTCACTAATATGGACTCAATATAAACGTTAAAAAGACAAAGCTTATGATAATTAGCAAGAAAAGAATAATAGAAGGTCAACTTTACGTCAACGAATCCTCTGTAGAAAGAGTGACGCACTATAACTACCTCGGCACTATAATAAATGAAGAATGGAGCAACAACCAGGATATTAGAGCACGCATCGGAAAAACTAGATCCATCTTCAATGGGATGGGGGCCTTCTTCAAGAGTCACAACTCTCTTGATACAAAAGTAAGAATGTTGCGATGTTACCTCTTCTCTGTCATTTTTTATGGTGTTGAATCACGGACCTTGAACGAAGATATGTGCAGAAAATTAGAAGCATTTGAGATATGGCTATATCGGAGAATACTTAAGATCCCGTGGACTGACCGAGTCACAAATGAGGAGGTCCTCAGAAGAATGAATAATAACCAAGAGGTACTGACCACCCTAATATCTCGAAAGTTACAATTCTTCGGACATATTATGTGAAATGAATCCAGATAGGCTCTCCTTCAAGCCATACTACAAGGAAAAATATTTGGAAAACGAGGTCCAGAAAGAAGAAGAACATCTTGGTTAAAGAACCTCAGAATCTGGTTCAATACAACATCTGTGCAGCTTTTCCGCGCTGCTGCAAATAAGATAAAGATTGCCAACCTTCGTAACGGATAGGCACATCAAGAAGAAGAAATCTTGTTTAAATTCGGACAATTTTTCATTTCGAATTAAAGTTTAATATATAGATTTTCAAAAATTGGAAAGTCGAGTTAGCTGGTTTTGACAGTAAGCCGACGATATTAGATACCACTTTTAGTAGTTTAAATTTATTTCGCCAGAGGTCAGATACTTTGTTTTCAATTTCCAGCCATATATTTTGAATACATTAGTACAAGCCAGTATTATTAAGGTTGTATTATCAACAAATTCACCTAATTGGGATATTCCTAATTTATTTACTCAGTTTTATTTTCTAATTGTGTCTTTTGATATATTAAATCTATCTTAGCAAATTCTTGATCTAAACAATTTACTCTGTCAAGTTGTACCTATTTATTTATTTACTCAATTTGCTGTTTATTTTTTGTAAATGTTTATCTACAAACATTTCATAGTTTTGTTGGGTTTGAAATTCACTTCATTATACAAAGTAATCAGAAGGTGTTATTTTCCTTAAAATTGTGTTAAAGAAATCTATCCGCGTCATACAGAAGTTAGGTTATGATGTATTTAATTTACAATATCTTCTTGTCCTTAACAATTTACGGACGTATTTACAATAATTAATTCCTTGTGTGGGAGTTACTAAATATCGAAAAAAGAAAGGCCTGCCTTAATTACGTTTTTTTGATAATGCTTCGTTTTATTTATTAAGAAAATTCCACTTTTTTCGTGAATTTCTTATTGATTATGCAACTCATAATACACGAAATATGTAAAAATGTGTTTAAATTTTATGAAGACAAACTCAATTACGACTTCATTTAGAATACTATTTCATACAATTTAGAATTGTTTATTACTATGTTATCAACAATAAATAATGTAATATACAGCCGAAAAGTAGGTTATTTTCTTTTGGTAAACTGAAGAAAAGCAACAACAGGAAGAACATACATTTATTGATTTAATTACATGATTTTGATCAACAAAATTATACTCTTTACAGAGCTCTTGTAACATTAAAAAATGAGATACCTTTAATAAAATAATAACTCCCAATGACTACATATACAAAAACGCTATATGGCATATACTTTGTGATAGATTCATCAATTCTTACAACTGGTTTTAATTTCAGGTATATTCCAAATCCCCCCCAAATAAGTTTTTTCCAATTTTGTGTTTATTAAAAATATAACTATCTGTATTAATTACATATAAATAATATAATGCATAAATTACTTCATTCACTTTTGCCTTTTGCTCTTTGGAGCTGTTGATTCTATTTCTTTTGTTTTTGTCCTTCCTCTAGTTTTCGGTGCTCGTTTTTCTGTAGATTTAACGTCTTCTGAAGTCGCCGGTTTGGTTTCTGTGGATAATGTAGGCTCCTTACTTCTGGACGGTTTACTATCTCCACTTTCTGTACTCGATTTCTTCGTGTTCTTAGCGGCAGCGGTCCTAGTGGTTCTTCTTCTTTTTTCCGGACTCTTTTTATCTTCTTCGGCATCTTTTTGTACTTTATTAGCTTTAGGTAAATAATCGTCATCTTTTGAAGAAGTTTTTGTACTGCTGACCTTTGTTTTCGTTCCTTTATTCGATGATTTCGTATCCGCTTTCGTTTCTGAACTTGGTGAAGGTACTTTTGGTCTTCTAGACCGTGACTTTGTTGTTGGTAATTCGAATTCTGAGAAACCTAGAACACCATAAGGAATATTTAAATAGCCTCGAAGAGATGGCAGCAGTTTTGACAAAATTTCTCATTTTACACAATGGACAAACTACGTAGCGCCATCTAGTGTTACTGATAGAACCAACAGATTTTTTTTCCTGAAAAACGATGTTCTTTTCAACTATTTTTGCGATTGCTACAAGTTCAGAGACATAATGGCGCTATGTAAATTGTCCACTCTGTCTTACCTTACACTTTCTGAAAATGCTTTATATAGGTCGAAACATTGAAGACTTGTAAAAGAAATGATATAAATACTTACGTAAAGTGTTACGGTTGTTGCCCGTTCTCGACTTCTTAGTTGGCACAATCAATGTATCATCTTTATTCTCTTCAACTTGCATGCTTCTTCTATGCAAGGTAACATTTACTTTGATATCTTCAAAAACCGGATCCATGATCGGTTTCCTTTTAATTCTAGAGCTTTTAGACTCTAGCAATGCAAAACTCTGGTCTACGTCACTTAGCAGTCCTCTACTAATATTTGTTTTGTTAGATTCGTCTTGATTCCTTTCATTTAGTGTTGAATTCAATAATAATTCACCATTTATGCTAGAGATACGATTTTGGGTAATATTTTTTGATGAATTCTGGAAAAAGTTAAACATTTTTAAATAAGGTTGTCCATCTTTAACTAGCTGAAAATTTTATCTCTTCAACTACGTCCTACATGAAATTTTTGCTATAAAATAAAATTTATAGGAAATATTTTTAAGTTTAATTATTCAAAAATCAACAATTTACATTAAATATCATTGAAAAAACAATAATCCATTGACTCTTTTTATTTTATAAGTAACAATGAAACTTTCACTCCTGTTTACAGAGTTGCCATATCGTCGTGGTGCATGCAAAAGGTCGAATGTCAATAAAATATATTTTTTCTTTTTTGGCATGTAAGCATTCAAAACACGCTTCTCCAACGTTTGCAAAACTCTCAAAAAATGTCAGAAGTCTATGTTTTGGTTAATGCAAATTGTGGTATATCATTGTATTCCTGTGGCGTGACACGTTTTTTATATTGTTTTTATTCAAACATCATTATTGTGTCGTGTACCCAGTTGTGTAAGTATTTAACTCTTTTTTTAATATAATTTAGCCTCACAAACAATAATAATACTTTTTATTTGTAATGTTAACAGTTAAATTTACTTCAAACAAAATACTAACCTATAACTATTTCTATGTTTTTCAAGTTCAAACTTTAATGATCCTAGTTTTATAATGTTTTACAATAAGATAAAAGTTTAAATCACTTATAATAATAATTAATTAACTTTTTCTGTATAAAATAATTTTTGAATATTTTTGTTGACAAAAGAGATTTTGCAAGAATCATAGTTCGATAATATAATATTGACATAGGTAGAGCTATTGCATTTGACAAATTATTAGTGACAGCAGATGATGTCACTAATATACACGGTCACTAATATACCAACACGACAACAGCCGCAATCAATGTCGGATACAACCCAAAATATTATTACAAATCAAGAACAACAAAAACAAAGAAAGCGTTAAGGTCAAGTTAACCGAAATGAGTGGAAGAGATTAAAAAATGCTTAATTAAAAGTTAAGATTAGAGGGGAAGTCTTATGTTGGATTTGAAAAACAAGAAAATGGAAAATATAAGCAAACTAAAATTAGGCAATCTAAATGCTTTGAGTCAAGATGTCATGGGCATCCTCAGCCGAAAAAAGGTAAAGGAGGTCCAAAATAAGATTTCAAATGTAATACGATTAGTGAGGATAATCGAAAGTCGATACATTCGCACTTTTGAAATCTGTCATCTTGGGAGGCTAAAAACGTTTACGTCACTAGGTCTGTATTGTAGGTACGTCCAAAATATATAAGAAAAACTACTACTTCAAGAAAAAACACTGGATTTTCTTTTTACTTGACTGTATAAGAAAATGGAGATGATGTTAAGAAACGTGTTTGCCGAAATATATTTATCAACACATTAAGCTTTGGTAAAACGAACGTGTGCTTTTGGATTTTATCAGATCAACTCAGTACAAACCAGAAAAACGGAGAACAGGAAAAAGAACAAGAAAATCAGGCACCACAACAAATAACAAACAGAGTTAACAATAATGTAGAAGTGTAAAGATTCGAACGTAGTTATGAGGTCCGAATCGTTTTATAATGCCCCTTTGTCCGCTTCTTGTCGATCGACGATGATAAATATAATAAAAAGTTGAAGTTATGGAGGGTGATTTTATTGACAGCTACGACAAATTACACTATATGATGATGTTAAGGTAACTATCTATAATAGACTGCACTCACATGAGATCAAATCCCCAATTTATAATCTCACAAATAATTCATACCTCAGCACAGAGGTTAATGCTTCTATCATACTAACCAACTTTGAACTATTAGCTTACATTACAATTTAATCTAGGTCGTCATTGCAACACTTAGGAAGTTAAATTAGAAAAATATATTATTCGACAATTCATTAACAGGTGAATGGACTTACTACTACTACTATTAAAATATTACTCGATATAATTTTCACAATATTTGAATTATACACGGTGAAACTATAAAATGATAAATGATTAATGATTAAAATGATTAATTTGTAATTGAACAAGAAGAATTTCTGAATTTACTGCCTAAAGTAGAAAGCCATTATTGTCAAGCGTCCTCCACTAAACTTTACGTTGAGCCCTTGTGGTCTAGTCTGCTTGAGATGTGCTGCTTTTATAAAGAGCATTGTCAAACAAAAAACAAAACTGCATCGTCCTGGAAATCCTTTTATATTACTTTAAAAACCATGAATATAGATCTGTATACTCCAAAAAAGGACCAATGTAGCAAGAGAAGAGAAAACAAGAGACAAAGAAGAATCCAACAATAATGCTAACACTGAAACCTATACTGTAGATTAAATGATGTTCTTTTACCCCAAGACTAAATGCAAGTGCAAAGAGAAAAATTCCACAATGAGACTTTTCTTAACTTAAGTACTAAAGATGTCGTCTGCTACGTTTGGCAGGAAGTTGTGTCACGGATCGGAAATGATGTATTTGCATCAATTTACACAGACTTTTTAACAAAAGTGATAGAAAAACGACACCCAGAAAAAATTACGATTTGAAGTGATGGATGTGGTTACCAGAACCGAAATACCAAGCTTTCTGATGCACATCTTGAATTAAGCATTAAAACAAAAGTAATTATTGAACAAAAATACTTGAAAGTTGGACACATCTTCATGGAAGTAGACTCTATTCATTCTAGTATTGAAAAACAATTGCACAATCGTAGAGAGGTATATAGACAACGACCGAATTCCTATGAAAAAATTTATTGTAGTAATGATTATTTTCATACATTTGAACCAGTTACTACAAAACTATTCGCCCTGGCAACAAAGCCAGCGATCACTGTGTTAACGATGTGGTTAATTTTCAAACAAATTAAACAAATTTTTAGTGAAAATTAATCTTTGAAAAACCCTCTACAATTATGATCTGACGTCATTTTATTGTAAAATGACCAGAAAAAACGTTAAAAGGCCCAAAAGCAAATTTGTTCAAAATTTTTTAGTTATTTTTGTTAATAACTGTTTTATTTTCCACTTTACGATAAAAAGTAATAGGTATAAAGTTATAGACAATTTAATTTGCTACAAATAATGTCTGATAAAATTTTCTGCAGCGTAGCTAGTTTTCGATATACAGTCCCCTCAAAATAGAACTACTATGGCAACACTGTAAGAAAATGTCAAAGTCAAACTGGATGACGTACTTACCATATCGCTCACTCTCTTCTCTTCTTTAATCTTTGTACTTTGTGGCTTAGCAATAAACGACGTAATCTGGCTCAGAGTTTCCGGTCTATCTTCATTCTCCTTACTGTTCGCTATTCCTGTTTTATTTTTCGTTGTTTGATAACCTCTATCGGACTGCCTTGGAGGCAAAGGTTTCTTAATAAACGCTTCGATTTGGCTCAAAGTTTCTATACTATTATTTAGAGATGTATTGCATTTAGTTTTGGTTGAAATCGTTTCTTTTTTTATATTGTCTGGCGGTACAACTCGCGAGCTTCCTATAAAAGCTTCGATTTGACTCATCGATTCGATACAAGTATCGTCATCATCCGAATCGTCTTTATCGTTGAAATTTTTGGGTTCCAGTTCACATAAAATCGGATTTCCAGGTCTATCCCTTCGAATTGAAATATTTGGTTCGACCATACCATAATTTTCCATTTCTAATTGTGATTCTGTGATATCTAAAAATAAAATTAAGAAGATAGATAAAACAATAATAATTGTGAACTGTATGTATTATAATTAAAAAAAAACGAATGACGTTTTTACATTATTCAGATTGGTGACCATACTATTAACGACCAGTAGAAATAAGCGACTTCATGGCTTCCTTGAATTAAAATTATCAAACATTACAAAGAAATCATAGTATTACACATACATAAAATATACAATAGAACTATGACAGAAATTTTAGTAACTTTGGTGGATGCGCCATTGTGGTACAGTATTGTTGGTTGTATAACTAACGGGATCAACAATACATATAATGGAAAAAAAAATTAGATTTAGTAAAAATAATATATCTACCATTATTAATATCACTTTGCTTCATATACGCATCTCCAATTTTTGATCTAGATTTATTAGGTGTTGCTAGTTCTTCAATAGGTTGAGTTGCTTGTATATAGGGATCTTCATCCAGTTTTAGCGAAGTATCTAAAAAATATTCTTATTACTAATTGACAATGAGTTTATATGGACACATTTTCATTATCACATAAAAAACAAATCGCAGAACATAACTCACACTTAATGTAAGCGGTTAGAGGTTATTTTGTCTTCTTTCCAAAACTGAGTGTCATAGCCCCTTTTCCCAAAACCCCAGAGACTTCATTTTATGAACAAATCTTGCAATAATAACAAAAACAAACTCACAAGGAACAAAAATAGAAACTGTCTCTCCAGTAAAACTTAATAAATTAAATATATCGTACTTACTTGATGTTGTCTTAAAACTCTCATTTCCTTTACAAGATTTGGACTTTTCAGGTTTATCTTCTACGTCAAGTATTTGTGTTGGTACAAGAAACATATCTTCACTGTCTGTGATAACATTTTTTGACCTTCGCTGTTTTCTAACATTAAAAGGTTGAACAAACACATCTTCATCAAGTGTTTGAGTAGGCTGGGAATACAAATCGCCTTCAGTTGGTTTTTTTCTATCAATAGGTTCGCATAACGGCAACAATTGAGTGGGTTGTAGAAAGGTATCGTCAATTTGTTGAGTGGGTTCTAAAAAAACATCCTCGTCCAGTTTTTGCGTTGCTTGGGAATATATCGCTTCTTTATTAGGCTCTTTTCTATCTACAACTTTGTTTGATGCCACTGGTTGAGTAGGTTGAAGAAAAACATCGTCAATCTGTTGAGTTGGTTCTATATACAAATCTTCATCCAATTTTTGTGTTGCTTGAGAATATATATCTTCTTGAGTAGGCTTTTTTTTATCAACTACCTTTTTTGATGACAGTGGTTGAGTAGGTTGAAGAAAAACATCATCAATCTGTTGGGTTGGTTGTATATATACATCATCGTCTAGTTTTTGGGTTGACTGGGAATATATATCTTGTTTTGTATTCTTTTTTCGTTCACTAAGTTCGTTTGATGGTAACAATTGAGTGAGTGCAAGAAAAACGTTATCAATTTTTTGTGTGGCCTCAATGTAGGCATCTGAAGAGTCCAATTCCTTTTGATTTGCATCATTTATCATATTTTTATCAGGTTTTGGAGCACCATCTATATTTGCACATTCCTCAACACCCTGTGTATCCAAACTACTTTTTTTTTCTTGGGATTGTGACTTTTTTGAATTGTCAAGGTCATCTAACTCTGGAAACTCCATAAGTTCTGTTAATCCTAACTTAAAACTCTCCTCAGAAGACTGTAAATTACTCGCCTGTGAAGATTTCAGTGGTTTATAGTCTAATTCTTTTGCAAAGGCATCTTGAGTGGCTGGTATACAGTCAGAATCATCCAAATCATCAAAATCTCTTTTAGATTTGATCTGTGGGTCTGTGCCATCATGACTATTATTTGCACTTAACCTTAGTGACATATTTGCTAAAAGCGCATCTTCACAGTCAGTATCTGAGTCTGAAATATCATCTTTTCCTTGTCCACCTTGTTCTAGAACTTTATGTGTATCTTTGCAATTAACTTCTAGATCTCCTTCTGGTGATTTATGTACAGAAATGTGTTCTTCTAATTCATTTTGACTAATTTTAGTGTTTAATAATTGTGATGTAGGCTGTAGATTATATTGTGAATCTGGGTTTTCAGTATTTGCAATTAAAAAGTCCATTGAATCATTATTTTCAAGATTATCTAAAAATGTTTCTTCTATGGAAAAGTCTCCTGCCTTACTACTATTTATAGAATTAGTAAAAGAATCATCATATTCCTTAAAATTATTTTGCATACCTGACGTTGAAGGCTCTTGACTGTCATGAATAGTTTTACTTGCAAATTTAGTCTTAATCTTATCAACAGGTATATCTTCTTGATCCTTTAAGTTACTTTCCTGTCTGCTGTTTATTAAATCTTGAGTATCCGTTGGTGTTACAAGTGACACAGGGTCATTTGTATTGTTCAATTTCTTAGAAATAGCCTCCATCTCTTCCTGAGTCATTATTTGTGTATTAGGATCTGATGTACTATCAATTTCTTCACTTTTCTCATTATCAATAACTAGTTGTTCTACTGGATTATCTTCAGGTTGTATAGATGGGTTAAAAACTTGAGTGGCCACTTCATGAATATTTATAGATGGGTTAAAAACTTGAGTGGCCATTTCATGAATATTTTGCTCCTCTTTATTGCTGTCCAAAACAAAATTGTATACTTGTGTTGGAAGATCATGAATGTCATCTCCATTTTCTATAATTTCATTTTGAACCCGTTCACTTAGTTCATTCTTAGCCACCTCTTTACCTGGAATTTGAACCATATGATTTTCTTGATCTTTCACCAATTGATTTTCTTGATTATGAACTCCTTTTTTAAACTGGTGTTTCTTAGGTTTTGGAATGGGTGGTGGATGAAATTCTATTTGGGTTGCTATTTCGTGAATGTTATTATCACTAATTGTTTGGTCATTATTTACACAGGTACTAGAAATGTCTGTGGGGTTGAATAGGACTTGTGTACTTGAAGAATAAAATGTTTGAGTCTGTGACAGTTGACTGGCCTCCAAAGCATCATTTTGGGTTGGGTCCACGACTAAAATCTATAAATAATTATTTAATCATGATGTAAGATACAAAAATAAGATTTACTTATATACAGAGTAAGTTATTAGTGTGAAATTGTACTAATATTATGCTGGTTAGGAACTTTCCTAGGAAAGTGTAGAGACTTTGATTTCATTGAACAATGGTTAAATCAAATTCCATCGAAAAACAAGAAGTTGAAAAATTTATACATATTCTGTAAAATTTTGTTTCTAGGAACTAGAGTTTTGATATTGTTGGGAAATCAAACACAAAATTGATATTGAAATTATCTAAGTACTATCATATTAACTGAAAGCAGATTTTCAAAAAATTAATACTTACATTTGAAAAACTTGCATTGAGTTCACCAAATTTAATTTCAGCCTTGTTGGTCAACTTATACAACTGTAGAGGAATCATTTTTGAATTGTTAATAAATGTACCATTAGAAGAATTCATGTCACTTATGTAGACCTGTGTTTCATCTATGGCCACAATAACAGCTTGATGTTGGCTTACCGTCTATAAAAACAAATAAAAAAGTTATAGAAAGAATTGATAAAAGAGACTTCCTAATAAAATAGAGTTCAAGCTCTAATGTTTATAAGTACATTAGCTTAGTTTCTGAATATTTGACACGAATGTACCAACTATTAGTAAAAAATATACAAATGATTCACTCATTTGAATTTAATTTGTTTTCTCTACTGTTCAAAGTCTTGGATTTCCTTTTATATGATTCTTATACATATAAAACTTGCATTTTGTTGCCTTTAACTTGATTATTTGAAGTTCTCAATATGTTTTTGTCTATAACTTTACATTCTCCTAATTGCTTCAAGCTGTAAAATCCAATGACTTTTGAATACATAAGAAATATCAAATATTTACGTTAATCTGAAAAATAATAAGGTCGATATTTAGTACATGCACGATAAATACTCACCAAATGTTTAATATTAACAACAGCTGCTTTGTTTCTGCCAATAGTATTAACTCCTTTAAATATGGGATATGGTTTGGACTCCACAACCAAACTTGCAACCTAAAATGATGTCGGTATTAGTAGTTTACCAGATTACCAGATATTTGTAAACTGCCGTACTTACTTGGATCCCATTTAAAAAAGGCGGTTTTGAAGTACTCTGTTGATCCATTATTTTTTTACCAAATAGTATGAGATGTAAATTCAAAATAAAGCACCCATTTCAAAATATAGTATACTAAGAACCAATTAATATAACACAAAGTAATTTCTTATTGTTTATATTTGCTTTATTTGTTTCTTTATCTATATTAATGCATATCTACAATGTAAATCATTAATTCGCATCAACATAACCTCAAAAATTCAAATTTTTGACACCAAACTGTTTGGAAAGTCATAGACGGAGGCGTATCTTCATTATTTTGGGTTTATAATACACTTTAAATCAGTCGTTTAATATCTTATTTAGGACATCTGACATTAAACATATATGGTAAATATATTATATTTACAATTTACTGTGGAATAATTCCCATACAATAATTTAAAAAAATACAATACTACCCACGGTTTTTAAATTAATTCCTATTATTTATGCAACCAGTAATACACTACAGTAAAAGCGACCCAGGGTTTCTATCTTTCATATACACAATTATGACCAGTGGGTATCTAGAAAATGGATTTTGCCTCCACTAAAATTGAAACTCTCAAAAGAATTGAAATATGTAATTGCCAATAAACACTGTTATAAAGCAAATAATCCATTCACGCCTATACCAAAGAATATTAAACAATTGTTCTATTCTGTGTCTATACAGCCACAAAAATTAAAATTTTTGTTTGACATCCATTGTTTATATGCTCATAGGCGGAAGTGAATATTGGAAAGTATATATTTTTAATATAGAAAACTTTTAACCAGAATACTTAAAGTTTAAAATGTTTGCGATTCTATAGTACCTATCTGAATCATATACTAAGAATGCGATTTTAAACACCTTTTAAAAACATACAAAATACTACGTGATACTACCCACGGTTTTAAATTAATTCCTATTAATTATGCAACCAGTAATATACATAAAATAGGGATCAGAGTGACATATAATTCTGATCGAAGGGCATTTAGAATTAAGATCGCGTCAGGTCAGAACACTTAAAAGTTCTATTTTAAAAAGTTCCTATTAATTATGCAACCAGTAATATACCTAAAATAGGGACCAAAGTGACAGAAAATTAAGACCAATGGGTATTTATAATAAAGCCAAAATCCGCCAAAATTTAGACACTCAAAATAATTTTTGTTTCTCGAGTATTCTTTTTAAGTAGTTAAACTTTTATGATTTTATTTATCTATAATTTGGAAATATTTAATATTCTTCTAGTAAACATTTCACAACTCGAAATCGAACTTTGAAATTATACCTACTTTATTGCGTTACACCGTGGAAATTACTATAAATAATACATCTTGAAAGTAGTAAATAGGAAGTGAATATGTTGTGTTTATAAAATTTTAAGTATATTTAAAAATCATCCAATCAAAGGTAAAGTAGAGATGAATTTTATAAAAAAAGTCATTCATCGAGTTGGACCAAAAAATACACTTTCATAAAATTTTATTGCAACCGGTTCAGTGGTTTTTGAACATGGCTTGGACAAACATTGTGACAAAAATTTTTTATATAAAGATATGTGTCAAGTTGGTTGCCCGTTACATCAATAGCTAAACGTGAAAGGGGGACAAGTCAAGTTGTCTTATTATTCACTTATAGAAATACTTATATTGACACTGCAAAAAGGAATATGTGTCAACTCGAAATATCCCTTTTTACACTAAATTTTAGGTACTATTTTTTAATTGCCACTTTTGGAACAATCACACACAAATATAGCTACACACAAATATAGCTACATTGACTTGTCCCCTTTTATCCACGATTAAAACGTACCCTTCTTTTTAACTCATATTGGCTTAATCCCGTTTTCATCAAAAATTGACTTGCCCCTTTTTCACGCACAACAGCGATATACGTTAAGAAATGCTGGTCTGTAAAATAACTATACGCGAAAGAAATTATAAACAATGTGAAGGTATATTTTTTTCACCTAAGAAGACCGCTTTGCAATTAAATGCTGGTAAGTTTATTGCTTGGAAGAAGATCTGTTGGCCGAAGTCAGAACTCATGGTTGAAGAATCTACGTGATTGGTAAAATGCGGATCGATTGATTTATTTAGAGCAGCAAGTTCAAAAATAAAAATAGCCATTATTATTGCCAACCTCCTTAGGGAGACGGCACTCTAAGAAGCTTTATTACTTGCGGACCAGATAAGCGGCGATACATTTTACACTACCTTTATGAATAACATTTTACTGCTCTTTTGTTTCAATCAGCACTGCTCAACAAGTTATCGTTTATTGGTTTTAAATTTTATTGAAATATTACGAGTACGGAATATTTATGTAAACAGTAAGTTTATTACATGTTAATTTTTTTTTTTAATTTTTTATGACGTATTGTATAATGTAGGTTTATCCAATAATCAAAGTTATGCCTTTACAAATACATATTATTTGAAAAATAAGGAGTAAATACAATGTGTCATAATAATTATAATCTTCTTTATACACACTTTAAAAATTTGTTTAGTAATGTATTTCTTAAATCCATACAACTATTGAAAAATGATTCATGCTGTTTAAAAATATCTTTCTGTTAACGACACTGTCATCGTCAAAGTAGATCAAACTCAAACGCCATCATACTTCTCTTCTGTTTATCGTTAAAAATTAATTGATGGTCGTGGGTTGTATTTGTGTTATTTAATAATTTAACAAAATACATAATCAGCAAAAATCTTATTTAAAACATGTGAACGCTTTTTGCAATCACAATATCAATGCAGTGTTTATGCTTGTTTAGCATTGGCTGTTAAACAATTTGTGTTCGATTGTTTCGTCTGTTGTACAACCCTCGTCCTTTTTAGGGTGTCGTAGTTGTATATAAGTACCTATTTTTTTTATAGTGTTGCAGTGAAACTTTAAAGCAAAATGAGTAATTTGGAAGACAATAAAATACAGTCGAAAAGTAGAGTGTTATCACCAAAAGAACGGCGTTTAGTTCTAAAAGTCGAAAGTTATTTTAATTTGGAAAAAAATAATATGGGTCCATTGACATCTGTTATGGCAGTTTACAAACGAACATGCGATGCTTGCGGTATTTCAGAGAGGACACTCCGAAGAATTAATTACATGAGTGAGGATGAAATAAATAAAGTAAGCAAAAGAAATCGTCGACATTCAAAAACTTTAGATTTGCACCAGTCAATTAAAAATATTAATATATAATATGTATAAAGCCAAAGAACATGTTACAGTTAGTGCTGTATTACAAAAAATTAAAGGCAAGGAACTGTGTGATATTAGTTTAACAAGTTTGTGGAGAGTGCTGAAACATTTAGGTTTTCGATATAAAAAGACAAATGATAGACAAGTATTGTGTGAAATCTCTAATATTGTTTCAAAACAGTGGCATTTTTTAAGAAAATGGACGAACAATAAAACGACTGATAGTCCGTGGCAAGTTGTATTTTTAGATGAAACTTGGATTTTCGCTAAATGAAATATGTCAAAATCATCCTGGCAAGATGGCACCACGAAATGTTATTCTTCTAGTCGTTCCGGTAATGGTAAACACTACATTATACATCATGCTGGAAATGATGAGGGTTTTATTCTTGACGAATTAATTTTTTCGTTCACAAAGAATACAGGTGATTACCATGGAAATATGGATGCAAATATTTTTGAAGAAAATTTGTTAAAAAAAATTTGAGCGACCATCCATAATAGTGTTGGATAATGTATCCTACCACAAAAGAATAGAAGAGAGATTTCCTTCAAGCAGCTACCAAATGGCTCTTAAATATGGCCATGAATTTCTTCGACTTCCGTCCTACCATTGCCACTATAATTCAATCGAGTTAGTTTGGGATTCTTTCTTTTATCTGTTCATGCACTCGTAATCAGCTGTTTCAATTTCAACATGGTTTTGTTTCCAATTGGTCCACTATGACAAACTTATTAATGGTCACAAAATATATCTCAGCGGCCCTAGATAATAGAAGTCAAGTTGACGTCATATATACTGACTTTACGAAGGCGTTTGACAGAATTCATCACGGCGTATTACTTTCTAAATTGTGTCTCTTTGGTCTTTCTGAGGATGCCGTGACTTTTATGAGGTCTTACTTGTCAAATAGAACGCAGTTTGTTGCTTATAATGGTTACAAATCGGAAAAGTACCTAGCTTCTTCAGGGGTTCCACAAGATTTTAATCTAGGTCCATTATTGTTCTTGTTATTTATTAACGATCTGTGTGAATCAATTTCTGCCCCATGTTTATGTTATGCCGATGATTTAAAGATTTATTCATTGATAGGCGACCTTAATGATTGTCATTTTCTGCAGAGTGAACCGAATCGTGTACATGAATGGTGTAATGCAAATCATTTGAATCTTAATGCCAATAAGGGCAAAGTAGTTATGTTATTCTAGGAAACAATCTAATATATACCATCCTTATTATCGATGGCATTGAAATTGAACGTTTGAATAAAATTAAAGACCTTGGAGTTACATTTAATTATAAAATCACCTGTGTTGAACATGTTAATTTAAAGGTTAAAAAAGCACTTAAATCTTATGGGTTCATAATTAGAAATAGTCGAAATCTCACTAATACTAAGGCAATTAAATTACTTTATTACACTTTTGTACGCTGTCAACTGGAATATGCCTCTGTCATTTGGTCACCATTTTATGATGTACATATCCAAATTATACAGGGTGGTGAATCGTCAAACGGGCCATAGAAAACTCAATGAGAAATTCTAAATTGTTGAATTCCTGCTTCCCTAATTATTTTACACCAAAAGTCATGGGAAACTGTTTGTAGAGGACTCAAATATGTATCGAAAACAATTGTTCTACGACTTAAACGTATTCCAAAATTTTGTTTAAAAATACACATTTTTCAGGCCACCCCTAAAAGTCAGGCCAGACGCCGTGAAAAGAATGTGTATTACGTGTTGCCTTTTGTCATATTGACGTTTCTAATATTTGACAATTCAACTATATTATATTTATCTATGATTTAAATGGCCAAAAATTTGTTATTTATTATTTAAAAGAAAAATTAAGTTGATTAAAAAATGTACTCAGTTTTATTATAACATTTGTTATAGTTTTATGTTTAGAAATTATCATATATTATTATTAGGAATAAAGATCACAGTAACAGTATATTGGAATTCATTGAATTGTTTGTTGTATAACTTAACTTAACATGGAATTAAATTTTAGTGTATTAGAATATCTTACGTTAAATAAAGATCCGGTAGTGACAGGAAAAGGTTCGCGCTATTGCCTGAATACCTTAAGCGATTTTTCGTCAACTGAGTACATTTCATTATATTGATCGATTTGTAAACAATATAATTTATTGTTCACAAAGTAATATTGTTCAGTAGTAGTAGTATTTAGTAAAATTCATTGTTTATAATTTAATCATAAAATAAAAAAATTGACAATTCAAATTGTCAAACATCTGACATTAATATGATAAAACACATGTTATAATATATTCTTGTATTACGTGTGGCCTAACTTTTAGGGTTGGTCTGAAAAATCTATTATATTTTTGCAAAATTTTGAAGTACATTTGATTCGTAGAACGGTTTTAACATTTGTTTTTAATTCAGATTTTAGTCCTCTACAAATAGTTTTTATGACTTTTGATCTAAAATAATTAGGGAAGCAGCAATTCAAAATTTCTCATTGAGTTTCCTATGGCCCGTTTGACGATTCACCACCCGGTAGAGCAGGTGCAGCGTAAATTTTTGTCTTTCAAAATTAAGAGGGGCATCAGCAATAGTGAGTTGTGTAGCGCTTTGGAGGTAGTATCATTAGAATCTATACGAATTAATGCCTCCCTAATATTCCTGTACAAGTTACCACATAATCTCATTGACTACTCTGATATTCTTCGACAAATAAATTTTTACGTTCCATCTTATCCAGTGAGAAATTCGATTACGTTCAGAAATACACAAGCTAGAACTAATCTTTTGTTAAATTCTCCTCTATTTCTCATGTGCAACTATTATAATTCCTTAAGTGCTTACTGCGATATATTTCACTGCAGTTTAAAGCAGCTTACTAGGATGGCTGAGATCTACCTAGGTGATTGAGTCGTTTCTTTATGCTAAGGTAAAATACTCGAAAAATGTGTTATTTAGTTAGTACCTATGAATTGTTAATATTTCATTTAACTTTGGTATTGTATTTTGTCCTATAAATGGATTCTGTTGGACAATAAAAGGTATTATTACTATTATCTGTTTTCGGTTGGGGTTTTCAGTAAGTTTGAAAAAATAAAACAGCAATTTTTGACAGTAATTTTTATTGACATTAAAACAGTAAAATTTATAGGTAATATATAAACAACTTATCAAGTCCAACCATATTTTGCAAAAACATCTAACACAAGATCTTTTAAAGATAAGTGACTCGAATCTGCACTTCTATACCACTCTAGATAAGACAACTATGAACGAATTTCACGACAGTCACTTCCAAGAAATACATTTTTTTCTGTAACCAATGATTTCCTTTGATCAACATTGAAAACGGCTTTTAATATGGGAAAATGCTAGTTTTATATTTTTAACATTGCAAAAATGGTAAATAGTAAATAATAGTTGTACAGGGTGATACTCACCAAACAAAATGACATCTACCGAACAAAAAACTGACTATTATGAATATTATTAGCAGTTTGCTTAGTAGAATCCTCTCTGTTTAGTGCAACAAGCACCCTGTGTAACGCTTAACGAAATTACCGAACAGGCATCCTGATCACCAACATTAACATATTTATAAAAATGAAGAATTACATAATGGATAGATAGATAGATACAAAATTATACTAAAGCCCTTTATAATAGTTAGGACCATCGGATTTAACAAAATATAAACAATTAACGTTAAATGTGTAGTTTAGACACAATCTAAAAGTAACAGCAACACCGCTCTGTCATTTTTAGAATTGAATGTCTTAGAGATAGTGCAAACACTTCTGACCATGGCGCAGTAGACGAAATTTGGTTTATAATAGAACCTCTCTGCCTTTACGTGAATTTTGACTCCGCCTTCGCGCAGCTCCATGGTCAGGAGTGTTTGCACTATCTCTACTTCACTTTATACCGGGTGTTTACATTTTATATACAGGGTGTTCCAAAACGTCTTTATGTTTACTAGGAACTAAGTTCCTGTATCTGGCTGTATACCATGTATCACAAATTTTTTTTATTTAAAATCCTTTATATAGGTATATTTATACCTTTTATAAAGGATTTTAAATAAAAAATTTTTTCTTCATGTTTGGTTAAATATTCACTAAGACCGCTTATATAGATTTTAATAAATGAAGTAACTGTTATATATCATTTTGCAAGTATTTAGTTGTTCCAATATCTTCTTACATTATTTTGATTATTGTGTATCCTAAAACTCACGATCTGGAACCAATAACATGACAGATGTCATCAATCAGATTATTGGTGTCTCGCATTGCTTGAAATGCGAAGTACATGGTGAAATTTAGCAAATGTACGGCGCTTTTATCTTCTTTTGTAATTATTTCTTAAACAGCAAATTGTAAAATTGAAACACCCTCTATTTTATGGAAGTTTGAGCCATCGCTGCTCTAAACAAATATTATAAAATTGTGAGCTGTGATCATTATATATAAAAAAAAAAAGTATTCGGTTTTTGTTTTTCTCCCGTAGGAATTTCAGTCGTCCAAAAATGAAGAATACAAAGAGTGATGGCTTTTTTTCATACGGAATATTACGTTTAATGGTACACTACTATAATGATAATCATAATAAAAAAGTTCGTAACAAAGGGCCTAACTAATAATAAGAGAAGTGTTTAGATAGCATCGATATCCACATCGTCTTGCCCATCATCATCGTTACTTGCCGCCGGTTTGGGTTTGCTTTGGGGAGTAATCTTCAGTTGGATTTGTGCCCTGTCATTGTATTCAATCTCCACGTCATCGTCTTCTTCATCGTCATCGTTGTCGGAATCTTCCGATTCGGCTTCCTTCAACCATTTTATGAACGGTTCTGCTTTGTCGTGAATCTCTTGGCTTACTTCCTTAGCTACGTATTTTTTGGACACCTGTAAAACATTAAGATGATCAATTATTGATAGAATAGAATAGAAATATGCTTTATTGTCACTGAAAATTGTACAATTTTATGGACAAAGCTTACAAAAAGTAAAAAAATAACAATAACAATTAAAATTTACTAAAATTACATAAATCGTCAATATCCCAAAATAAAATATTCAATCCATTGCAAAATTTATAAATTATAAGGTCTTCTAAAATATTCCAGGCTACTATAAAGTATCTAACAGATTTTTTAAAGATACCAGCACAAACTAGAAACATCTCATGATGCCTCGAGCTCGTCTAAAGCCTTCTAAAACATTCTAACCTGATCTGGTATCTTCTTGAGGTCTTTACAGCATTTTAAGACAAACCAGAAACATATCAGGTTGCCCGGAGCACTTCCAGCACTCGTAAAATAATCTTCACATTCCAGAAATTTTCCAGAACCCCTAGAACATTTCAGAACCATCTTCTAAAATAATTCAAGACTGTTTTGAAATCTTCATTCATCTTTAACATTTAATGCTAGGTTTAAATTTTCAACAGACCTGTAAAACATTCCGGACATACTAAAAGCATTTCACGTCGCACTGAATCCTTCCAGAGAACTCTATAGCCTTCAAAAATATTCTGAAATCTTCTTCAGCTCTCATAAAAATTACAACCTGATTTGGAGCCTTCGAAACATTTAGAACACATTGCATATGTCTCGCTGGCCTGAGTTTTCAGAACCCTCTAAAATATTCTAAGCAGACCTAAAATTTTACAAAAATTCCAGGCTGTCCTGAAATCTTTCAGTCTTTTAAAACATTCCAAACCGCTCTAAAGTACTCCAAAGAAATTTGAAGCATTCTAAGACAGATAGGAAATGTTTCATTCTGCCATAAACTATTTTAAGGCATTCTAAAGTATTCTAGATTTCCATAAAGTCTTAAACCGAGCCCTCTTAAATATTACAGCAGTCTCTAAAATATATCAGGACATACTACAAGCATTTCTAGTAGCTCTCCGCTCTTTCAGATTCCAAAACACATTGCAAACTGCTCTTAAGTTTAAACAGAAGTCATACATAAATCTTGGAGACATTCCAGGACTGACAACAGAAGCTTTCTACTGCTGTGAGCTCCTCCTGAATCCCCTAGAGGATCACGTACTGTCACGAAATCTATTCTAAAACATTCCATATTGCTCTAAAGTTCTCAAGAGCGCTATAAAATGCTAAGGGCTGCATTCAAGACTTCCATAAGTCTCCTAATCATTCCAGGAAAGACTAGAAATATTCCGGACTGCCCTAAATCATGTCAGCTTGTTTTCAAATCTTCTAGAGGCCACTGAAAAATTCTAGGAAAGCCAGAAACATTTCATGGTGCCCCTAAATCTCCTAAAGCCCCCTAATGACATTCTAAGCTGTTCTGAAATCGTCTAGAACCCTGTAAGACTTAACAGGTTTCTCTAAAGTTATCTGGAGGAACCTGAAATATTACACAGTTGATTAGAAACATTCGAATTCTTCCAGGATCCTTTGAAGGGTCACATACTATCACGAAATCTATCGTAAAACATTCCAGGTTGCTCTAAAGTTCTCCACATCGCTATAAAATACTAAAGGCTGCCTTCAAGACATTCAGAAATCTCCTAATTATGTCAGGAAAGACTAGAAATATTCCGGACTGCCCTAAATAATTTCAGTTTATTTTCAAATCTTCTAGAGGTCACTGTAAAATTCTACGGAAGTCAGAAACATTTCATGGTGCCCCCAAATCTCCTAAAGCACTATAACGACATTCTAAGCTGTTCTGAAATCCTCTAGAACCCTGTAAGACTTGAACAGCCTGCTCAAAAGTCATCTGGAGGACCCTGAAATATTACACAGCAGATTATAAACATTTGAATTCTTCCAGATTCTTCTGAAAGATCACAGACTGTCACGAAGTTTATCAAAGTCTTCAAAAACGTTCCAGATTACTTTAAAATTCTTCAGAGAGCTATAAAATGTTTTAGGTACACTTAAGACTCCAAAAAATCTCTTTATCAGTCCAGGAAAGACTAGAAACTATCATAAGTAGTCTGAAATCTTCTAGAAGCCCCTAAAACATTTGAGCTTGTCTTTAAGTCTTCTAGAGATCACTAGTACATTCTAGGGTGTAATATTCCAAAATGTTCTAAAATCTTCTACAACATTGCAACTTGCTATGAAGCATTCCGAAGATATCTGAATCGTTTCATGCTGCCCGAATTCTCCGATGTCCTCTAAAACATTTCATAATGAGCTGAATTCTTTCAAAGGCTTCTAAAACAATCTACATCATACCATAAGCATTTCATGTAGCCCTGAGACTTCTAAAACATTGTAGACTGTTCTGTAGTTCTCAAAAACACCATTAAACCTTCCAAAAATCCACCAACTATTCCAGAACTGTAAGTCCTACAGACTAGTGAAATATATTAGAACGTTTTTTAACGCTTCCGTTTTATCCCTTATACAAATCGGGTATTATTGGAAAGGGTAAGGATAATGCGAATTTGATTAGGAAAATCTCATTGATATACGACTAGAAAAGAAACTTACTTTTTCGGACCATTCTATGATGCACTCCTCCCCAAGGATATCCATATCGTAAAAGATTTTCAGCAAGCCAGGAACTTTACTCATAAGTTTGTCTTTGTGTAAGGCGATGACTTGTTCTAGCCCACCGATTAGATATTTCTGTGCTTTTTTATCGTTCAATGTGAAACGAAGGAAGAGCAAACGATATTTTTTAGCCTGCGCGAGGATGTTCTAAAATAAAAGTAGAAAAAACACGATTAATATGTGGATCTTTGGACAATGTATTAAATATTTACCTGATCAAAAAGCAACTCGGACAAAACGAGAGGAGCTTTAGTCTTGACCTCCAAACGTTCCGCTTCGCTCAAGACTTCTTTTTGAGTCTGCACGTTTCCCAAGAGTCCGGTATCGCGTTTGGCTTTTACCATGTTGTACAAGATGTCCATACGTTCTTTTTCGGATTTTTCAAGATCGTCACTGATGGTCATGTTTTTGGCACCATCGCTAAGATCTTGCATCCTTGCCCTTACAGCTTCCTCGGACACATCTACGGCCCATTCAGTTTGGTCGTCATCACTGCCACCCTAAAATATCAAATTTATGATATCATTAACACACCAGTAGGATATATTTTGCTGGTATTATCTAGGTCAGCGTTCTTTACTTGTTTAATTTGGATTTAAAAACTTACGTTATTGTCTGTGGAATTTTCAATAGCTGAAGAATCGAGCGTCGAGTCATTTTGATCATCTTGGTCGCCATTCGCTTCTCCGTTACGTTTGCTGCGCTTGGATCGTTTTCCTTCGGTCAGCGACGATCCTTGACTGGCTGGATTCGAGTTGGGTGGATTCTTCAAGATGAAGGTCATCAACTTATGGTTAGATTCCAACAAACCGTGGTAGCCACACGCTTTACATCCCTGGGATATTGTGTTTTTCTTTAGAGAAACTAGAAGATCAGTTTCTGGATTGTCGCATTCAGGACACAAAACAAACCTAAGAAAAACGAAGACGTTATGTAAAATTCGCTCTATACTTGATAAAATAAGTAATTTCTGTAATGTCACTATTTCACCCTATATCTATAAATGTACAACTGAAAAAATAAAACTAAAAGAGTAACAGTTTTAGGACTTCGTTTCAGAACAGGATTATAAATGCGCGCAAACTTATATAAATATATATCTTCCAAACATTACAGAACACCAGCAGATTTTTATGTCCCATTGAATTATTCCAGAGCCTCCTAAAATATTCCAAGCTGTTCTGCAATTTTCTAGAATTCTCGTAAAAAATTGCAGCTTGCGCTGAAGTCTTGTAGAAATCTGTGAACATTCCAAAGCAGCTTACAAAAGTTTCCTGCTACCATGAGTCTTCTTAAACACTTAAAAATATACTAGGAAATCCTTAAAACTTCCACTATCTCTTCAAACATTCCACGTTTCTATGAAGTTATCCAGTGGTTTCTAAAACATTTCAGGACAAACCAGATCCGTTTTATGTCGTACTGAATTCTTCCAGAACCATCCAAAATATTTTAGAACACAGAACATAAATGTATTGCTGCTACCTTGAGTTCTTCCAGGGCCCTTTAAAATATTCTATAGGTACGCCTGCAGGGTCTCATAAAACATTCTAACTTGCTCTTAAATCGTATCGGGTCCCCTTAAACATTCCACGATGGTATGAAATCATCCAATGCTCTCTAAACCATTCTAACATATACCAAAAGCATTTCCCTTAAAACATTTCAAAACCGAGAACAAAAGTTCCCTGCTTTCCTGAGTTATTGCAGAGCCTTTTAAAATAGTATAGGTACGCCTGAAATCTTGCAGAATCTCCTAAAACATTCTAGGTTGCTAAACCATTCTAAAATATACCACAATTGTGAATTTATGTCGCACTGAATTCTTCCCCAACCATCTAAAACATTCTAACCTGCTCAGAAATTTTAAAAATATTCCAGGGTGGGCTCTGAGGATTTCCAGATTCTTCAAAAACGTTCCAGGATTTACCACAAGCATTTCAGGATACGCCAGATGCGTTTTATGCGGCATTGAATTCTTCCAGAACCATCTAAAACATTCCAGAACCAGAAACAAAAGTTCCCTGCTGTCCTGAGTTTTTGCAGAGCATTTTAAAATAATCTGGGCACGCCTGGAATCTTACAGAGTCTCCTAAAATATTCCAGGTTGCTCTAAAATCTTATCGGGTCCCCTTAAAATTCCACGATGCCATAAAGTCATCCAATGCTCTCTAAACCATTCTAAAATATACTTCCTCAAATATTCCAGGATCTTACGAATTGCATCCAGTGGTTTGTAAAACATTTCAGAACAGATTAAGTCTTCCCTAAGCTTTTAAAAATATACTATGAAATCCTAAAATCTTCCACTGGGCCCTCAAACATTCCACGTGCTATAAAAGTATCCAGTGGTTTCTAAAACCTTTCAGGATACACCAAATGACTTCTTTCAGGGCTCTTTAAAATATTCTAGGCATGCCTGAAATCTTATAAGAGTCTCCTAAAACATTCCAGGTTCCTCTGAAATCTTATCGAACCTCCTTAAACAGTTCACGTTGCACTAAAGTCATCCAATGGTCTCTAAACCATTCCAAAAAATACCAGAAGCATTTCATGTCGCACTGTATGCTTCTAGAATCATCTAAAACATTAAAAGCTGATTTGAAATCTTCCAGGTTGCTCTGAAGTCTTACAGAACATACCAGAAGTATTTCTTGTAGTCCTCAATTCTTTCATATTTCCAAGAACATACTCTTAAATTTATACAGCATTCGTAAAGCATTACGACCTGCTCTAAAGTTTTCTAGAAATCTTTGAGACATTTCTGGACAGACCACAAACTTTTCATGCTGCTTTTTATAATCCTTAACTTCCTAGATTCGACTTGGCTGGATTCTTTAAGATTAAGACCATCAACTTCAAGAATACAAAACAACATTAAGAAAAATAATATTGTCTAGAACGTTTTTGATAAAATATTTAGCCTACTCGATAAAAGAAGTCATTTCTGTAACGTCACTATTTACCCCTACATCTATAAATATGCAATTGAAGAAATGTGTACCTAGAGGGTTTCTTTGTTGAAGTTTTGATCCTTTTTCCATTAATTATCTGTTCTTAGTATTGCTAAGAGGATTTTTGAGCAGAAGAGGAAACGATATAAAAAATATATATACAAAAAGATCTACTTACTTGCGTATGAACCCATCTAGAAGATCTTGCAGTTTAGAAGCGTCATGGGAACCGTTCACAATGAAACGTTCATTTTTAAAGTCGAATTGAGTTTGAGCGCCCAACTCACAGCCGAAGTATTTAGTAGGGTACGTGGGAGGTCGTCCTAGAGCTTTGGCGACCTCGGCCATGTTGACAATTACCGTTTTTATACCGTTACCTTTACCTGGAATACGAAGAAGTGGTTTAGTTCAATTGAAAAAGTGCAAAAGCAGATCATTTTCTACCAGTGTAAAGTTTTGAAAACTCTTTAAAAGTTTTTACCTTTTGTAATTTTCTGTACAATTTTCATTGTTATTGTTAAGATACGTTATAAGTATTTTCTTAACACGTTAAACGCCATGGATACATCGATAAAAAATTTTTAGTATATGTACCTGATATTATGTGTTAAGAATATATATATAATATTTATTTTTATTTTTGAGCGTATTTTTTCATCATAAATACAAAAAAACACATGGAGGTCACCGGTGCCCTCCGCGGCGCCATTGACTAGAAATTAACTTTTCCGTTGTACCACGCCGCGTCGGTCACAATGCCGGTCATCCTGATGCCCGGCACAATGCCGATTTATATTTTTCAGAAAATGATTTTTTTCCAATTTTAATGTTTTATTGTTAATTCCTAGTTAGTTAGAGTTGGTTTGTTTTAGTTATGTCATTACTTTCCATAAATATTTATAACAGACAACATTTTTAATAACATTATATAAAAATTCAAGACTAATTCTATATCTTTTTTACTTATGTAGGCAGATTTGTCCCATTCAAAAAAGATTTATTCTACAGCGCCTTGACGGTCATTTCTATATAAAATATTAACGAAACGAGTGACCGCCGGCACAGAAAACAACTTTGTATAATGCTATGTTGCGGAGGTCACCGGTGACGTCCACGGCGCAATGGGACGTCAGAGCTGGTGGTCACCGGTGACCCCCATGGCGTCGAACGCGTTAAAAAAATGTAACAGTAAATGTTTGTCGACTTACCTTCAACTTTGGCCATAAGCCGGGGCATTTTGTAGCGATAGAACACATCGCTGACGTTTCTGTTAACGTTGACACTCATTGTGGATGTAGTGCGTTAGCTATGTAAGATCTTAGGAGAAAGGATATTGGTTTTAATGATCTTTGGTGTTTTTCGTGAAATTATAATAGCCAGTCACGTTTCTCTAAATGGTTGAAGTTTTCGATGCCTATTCGATGAAAATTTTATAGTCCTACAATATAAAAAACGGAATAATCAAAATTGTTGCCTATAGGATTGAGTTGTGAGTGAAATATTTGTATGTTTTATTGCTTTGTGTTTTTGTTATGTCTTCTCTTGTCTGGTGGAGTATTTTTGTGGCTCGAAGATTTTGATCACGTAGCATATATCTGTTTCACTTACCTATAATAAGTAGGCTCACGTCGCTGCGAAGTCATACACCTCGCTTGCTCGGGCCCTAAATCCCCAACTATGCTTCTTGCTAATAATGTCTCTAAAAAGGAAAAGGAACAAACTACAGAAAATCGTAAAAAATGTTAATTTCTTCAGGTTAGTTTAAGATTCGAAAGCAAACATCTCTGGTTCTCTCAGGTTTCCATAAATCGATTTGTAGTCAGAATGCAATTTAAAATTTACAAATTTAATCAATTTTATAAATAAATAAAAATTGATAAACATAAAAAATAAGAATCTATTGAAAACTTCAGAAAAATTCAAATCAAAGTTGCCAAAACAAATGAGTAGATTCTGTGAATGTCCAGAGGAACCGGCTGAACGCCAAAAAATTTTCCCCGGTACTATACATCTAGCAAATTCAAACATTTATAATGCCGGAAGAAAGATTTTAGGTAATTTAAAACGAATAAATGTTCAAAAACGATCAACCGTCGAAGAACTTAATGCCATAAGAACTGGTCTGTTCAGGTGTGATTTCTACTTTGAAGACCTCAGAAGAGGTCGTAATATGTTTTACGATCATTCTGGAAGATTTTAGTCCCACAATAAATGCTTCTGGTATGTTGTGGAATGCTTTCCACTTTTGAAAGAGTAGTTTGGAATGTTTACAGCCAAAGAATACATGGTCTTGTCTGTCTGGAATATTTAAGGACAATGTGGAAAATTTCAAAGATTTCGGGAAAATTACAAAGCAGAAAGCAATGTTTTACGAAGGATCTGGAAGATTTTTGAACTGCTTAACATATTTTAGAGGACTCTGAATGTATTCAGTGTCTGTTCTTTTGGTCTGTTCTGGAATGCTTTTACTTTTGAGAAGTTAACAATAATTTACGATGATTTTGGAAGATTTCAGAGCTGTTTGGAATGTTTTTGAGGACTCTTGAAAAATTCCAGATCTATTTAACATATTTAAGGGTCATCTCGAAGATTTCAAAGATTTCTGGAAACTTCCAAAGCAGATAGAAATATTTTCGAAGGATCTGGAAGATTTCAGAACAGCAGTCTCGAACGGTTTGTCTGAACCATCAAGGGAGATCTGGAAAATATCAAACATTTCTGGAAAAATTAAGAATAGATAGTAATGTTTTACGAGGGATCTGGAAGATTTCAACAGGTTGAAATATTTTAGAGGTCTGTGGAAGGATTTAGCGTTATAATAAATGCTTTTGGTATGTAAAATGCTTTCCAGTTTAGAAAGACTTGATAGCAGGCTGCGACCTTTTACAAGGATTCTAGACGATTTCAGAGCAGATTTTTTTTAAATATCACATCTGTCTAAAATATTTGTGGGCGATGTGGAATATTTCAAAGATTTTCGAAAGACTTTAGGCAGATAACAATGTTTTGCGAGGATTCTGGAAGATTTCAGAGCAATTTGAAATGTTTTTGGGAACTCTCGAAGAATTTTAAGGCTGTCTACATTAAGGTGATCTCGAGAAGATTTTAAAGATTTCTGAAAAACTTCAAAGCATATATCAATGATATGAGAGATCTGGAAGATTCAGAAAAACTTGAAATATTTTAGAGGGATCTGGAAGGATTGAACATCACAAAAAATGTTTCTGGTATGTTTTGGAGTAATGTCCAATGTTGCTTCAGAGCAAGCTGTAATGTTTACGAGGACTCTGGAATGTTTTGAGGATTCTTGTATTTCTTTAGATGATTAAGAGACTTCTGGAAGACGTCGGAGCAGCTTGAATGGGCGAGTAGGGAAAATTTAAATGCTATAAAACTAAGTACGATTTCAGGTTTGGTCGGAATATGCTAGAGAGATCTCGAACACCTCAGGGTAGAATGAAAGGCCTGTGGTGCATCCTAAAATGTTTTCAAAGATTTTTTAAAAACTTTCAAAGTAGGCTGCAATGTATTACGTGGACTCTGGAAGATTTCGAAGCAGTCTGGAATGTTTTTCAGTGCAACATGGCACGTTTCTAGAATATTGTACACACATTTGAAAGACTTATGGGAGGCCGTAACGATTTATTGGATTTTGAGTTTGATGCAGTAAGCAACACTCTGGGTATATCCTGGAATATGGGTGACTCTGGTAGGTTTATAAATAGTTTTGGATGTTTCTGAAACGGCCCAAAACCGTGTAATTGAAAACATCCTGTGAAAAGACACAAACTGGAAAAACTAAAATAAAAGCTGTAAAAGTTTGCGTTTATCGAATGAAATCGCAACAAAACGGGCAAAAATACAAAAATCTCTAAGGACTAGACGATGTGGTACAAAAAAACTATTAAGTACTGAAAAGCTTAACATGAACCAAAATAAGTAAAGAGCCTATTATAGAGAACAATATTTAACTCCTGCCTTTATATAAGTAATATATTATAAAAATTTAGCAAGTATGACACTTTTCGTTTATGATTATAAATATTTGAAATAAGCATTCCGATATTAATACGTACTTTTTAAATTGGGTCCATTAATGGCAATAGGAGGAAAAATTATAAATTTTTCTGCTTAACGTTAGTAAGGCATTCAAACTTTTCATATTATGAAAGTATAACTGACAGATGTGACGTTAATGTGATATTGCATGGAAAATACCTGAACCTACCTGCAAAACTACCATTTCCCAGGTCTCCCTATTCATTATCTACTTAAATTTAGAAATGTACCAAAATTTTGCATGCGTAATCATCCGATAAAATTTTTCTTATCCGTTTTTAATTATTATTGGGTGAGTCGGAATTTAACATGTTTCGTAATGTAAGATTTGCCATACTACGAATATCACGCCGAAGTCTCCGCATGAACATCGAAAATTTAAATAGGAGACAAAAAAATTAACTATTTACAAAAAATTTATACATAATGTGACATAACAAATACATCTTGACGTTTATGATCGATCGAAATGTCTAATAATACAGTTATAATAAAAAAAGTACTGTACTTTTTGTACCTTACATTTTTTTCGATATACTGGAGGTAGTCTTGCTAAAAATGATGCTGTAGAAGAATAAATTTGTATTGGATTCATTAATCGGTCAATAAAAGACACAATCGTGGAACTACGTGACATAATCAGTTGACGTTAACATTCATATGTTTACTAAAAGAAAATACCAAGGTGTGCATCTATTGCACTCTTAGTATTACGACAAAAAATGGAAACACTTCTTCTTCGATTGTATTTCTAAGACTTACAAACGTCTTTAAATCTACCACTTTCAAGACGTTAGAGATTTGACCTTTAAATTTGCCTGAGAATGTCAGTTTTAGGTCCCCAAAAGATGTACCGAGCGGTCCAATAAGCCGATCTCTCGGCTATATATCAGAAACTATTCATGTTGTAACTTTAGGAGAAAAAATTCCTTAGTAAAAGTGACCAAGAGAAATCGCTGGAAATAGCTTTCAAGTTTCTGGGTTAACCGCTAGGGGGCGTAACCTGTGAAGAAAACTTTAAAAACCAGTTTTTTGTGAAATATGCCCAATTATACCGAGTGTTAAATAAGTAAACTAGAAAGAGGCCTAAATTCTGCACAAAGTTGTTCAAGAACTATTTTATTTTTTCAAATAAAGGGTGGGGGAGAGTGGGAAAGTATTTGTGGATAAATAACTATAACATTGGTTTGGATCAACCGATTTTAACGAAATTAGTGCCATTAGAAAGAGTGTGGATTTTCTTCAAAATGTTTAATGCAAACACCTATTTATTGTAAATTATAATTGAACTGGATAAATTAGTAACAAAATGGCGCAAACCGCATGTTGATAGCTTTTGTCGAACTCGAGATATGAATAAAAACGCATAAACATAACTAAGTATAGTATTGACTCACCCTTTATTATAACTTAAAATTAAATATGTGAAAGACCATCAAGTATTTTGTTAAATTTTTTTTTAATAGTATTCTTGCATAAAAAAAACGTAAATTTCTTTCACCTTCTTGTTTAATAATTTTTTTCTGAAACAAATACTACCCTGCTAAGGATAATTTATATTTAAATTAGATATACAATCTAATTTAAATCCTCCAATCCCCAGGAGACATACAAAAGTACAAAGAGAAAAACAGAGAAGTAAAACGAAGAAGGGCAAAAGAAAAGAATGAAGAATGGGAAGAAACATGTGCACAAATTGAACAATACATAGGAGGAACAAGGAATTCGGAATCCTGGAAAATACTGAAATCTTTAAGGAAAAATAACAACGAAAACACCCAAATACAATACATATCAGAAAAAGAGTGGGAAGACTACTATAAAGACTACTCACAGAAAACCGCCCAGATTTCATAGAGACAGACACAGAACATGAACAACAACAAAATCAGAATGAAGAACAGATTGAGATAACATTAATCGAAGTAAAGAATGCCATAAAGACTTTAAAGAACAAAAAATCAGGGAGACCAGTAGGAATCGTTAATGAACTAATTAAGTACGGAACGGACAAACTGCACAGAATTATACACGAAATGTTCAGTAACGCTATAAACCTGAACGAAATACCAGATAAATGGTCTAAAGCATATATAACCTCGATACATAAAAAAGAAGATAGGAAGAAATGCGAGAACTACAGAGGCATCAGCGTGACAGCATGTATGGGCAGACTATATGGAAAAATACTGAAAGAAAAACTGGAAAAATCTATCTCAAATAAAATC